CTGCATCGGCAGGCGGACTCTCAACCACTGCACCACCAGGGAAGCCCGAAGCTGCTACTTTTAAAACCAAACCAGTTTTGTTGTATTTTTTTAAACCAAAGCCCATTCTCTTCTGTTCCAGCTAAGTTACTGGCTCTGCTGAAGGCTGGGTCGAGAGTTTTCCGTCATTCACCTGATCTGAAAGCCCACCCAGTCCTCCCTCTGCCTCCAGGGCACACCCCTTTCTGACCCACATTTGTGTCTTTAAAATCTCCTACTGCTCTGTCGTTGCTGCATCCACGGAAGTCTTGGTTCCCAATACAATTCTACACTCCTTGAGGGTAACGACTGGACCTTTCTTTCTTGGTATCCACTCTCCCTCCTCCTTCTCTTCAAGGCCTGGTGCTAGACTGAGGGCATCCAAGGGATTCAAGCGGAATCGCAACAGAAAAATGAAGACCACCACCACCGACTAACACTGTGCTGCTGCCCCTCCCCTTTTCTCTCTCCACCCCCAACTTCCGTCATCCTTCTCTGTGACGACAACAGCCATGTAGGTGACCTGAACATCATCACACATCTTGTCTCTACACCCTCGATTTTTCCAACTCCAATAACCACTTAAAATCCCTGATCACGGGGCTTCCCTGGTGGCGCAGTGGTTGGGAGTCCGCCTGCCAATGCAGGGGACACGGGTTCGTGCCCCGGTCCGGGAAGATCCCACATGCCTAGGAGCGGCTGGGCCCGTGAGCCATGGCCGCTGGGCCTGCGCATCCGGAGCCTGTGCTCCGCAACGGGAGAGGCCACAACAGTGAGAGGCCCGCGTACCGCAAAAAAAAAAAAAAAAAAAAAATCCCTGATCACAATCACAAACCTGCCTTTGACTTCCAACACTGCATGGCCAGCCCAGTCTGTCAGTCCAGCAGGCTGACTGTCCCTCTCTCCCAGATATTATTTCTTACCTTTTCCTTTCTCCACAAGCCTCTCTGCCCCCAATGCACACAGAGAAACATACACAGTGTCCATACCCTCATTAGATGATCCCACTTCATCTCTCACTGACTCGGAAGTCATTAGGGAACCCGTTCATCCTCTACCGCTGTCTACACCTGCCCCAGCTTCTCCTCCCACCTTGCCGGTGTCCCAGTAGAAAAAATGGCCTTCTTCCCCCAAGGCCACTCCCTTGACACTTGCTGTTGGTACCCTCTCTCACCTTGCCCCCAGCTTTCCCTTCTCCAATCTCACCATCCTCTTCCTCCCCATTGCATCATTCCTATCAGCTTACAGATATGCTCCGCTGTCCCCCTGACTCCATACCCCTCTCTAGGTCCTGCCTGGGTCTCTGCTCTCCTTCTCGGCAAGCCAGTGGAAAGCGCCATCTGCACACACAGCTTCCACTTCCTCCTTCTTATTCCCGCTTCCTCTCCCCTGACCATCCAGGACTGCTTGGTCCTGGCCATCTGCCGCCGCCATGCTGCCTGAGCCAGTGAGCATTTTTCTGTCTTCCCCCTGACTCTCAACAGCTTTGGACAAACTTCATGAAACACTCATTTGGCCTCTTTGACTCCATATTCTCTTGGTTTTCCCTTACTTCACATGAAGCCCCTCCTCAGCTTTCATTTTTTAAAATAATTTTTAATTGAAATATAGTTGATTTACAGTGGTTCAGGTGTCCAGCAAAACGATTCAGTTATTCATATACATATACATACATGTATATATTCTTTTTCAGATTCTTTTCCATTATAGGTTATTACAAGATATTGAATACAGTTCCCTGTGCTATACGGTAGGTCCTTGTTGTTTATTTATTTTTTTTTTTTTTTAAAGAAGATGTTGGGGGTAGGAGTTTATTAATTTATTAATTTATTTATTTTTGCTGTGTTGGGTCTTCGTTTCTGTGTGAGGGCTTTCTCTAGTTGTGGCGAGCGGGGGCCGCTCTTCATCACGGTACGTGGGCGTCTCACTGTCGCGGCCTCTCTTGTTGCGGAGCACAGGCTCCAGACGAGCAGACTCAGCAGTTGTGGCTCTCGGGCCTAGTTGCTCCGCGGCATGTGGGATCTTCCCAGACCAGGGCTCGAACCCATGTCCCCTGCATTAGCAGGCAGATTCTCAACCACTGCGCCACCAGGGAAGCCCCTTGTTGCTTATTTTATAAACAGTGGTGTATATCTGTTAATCTCAAATTCCTAATTTATCCCTCCCCCCTCCCTTTCCCCTTTGGTAAGTTTGTTTTCTATGCCTGTGAGTTTATTTCTGTTTTGTAATTAAGTTCATCTGTATCTTTTTTTAGATTCCACATTTAAGTGGCATTATGTGATATTTGTCTTTGTCTGACTTACTTCACTTAGTATGATAATCTCTAGGTCCATTCATGTTGCTGCAAATGGCATTATTTCACTCTTTTTTATGACCCTGCTCAGCTTTCTTTCCCTTCTACCAAACTTTAAAATGTTGGAGCTGTTCAGTACTGTTCTTTACTTTTTATTTAAAAAAATATTTGGGGCTAGAATCTCTCCACAGGTGGTCTCATCCATTTCCAATGACTTTAAGAATTCCCTGTATGCTGATAAATCCCATATTTATATCTTCGGCGCAGACTCAAATATTCAGTTCTCTACTTGAGGGCTCTACTTTCTGAGGCCTCAAGATCCCTCTGGCATACACTCTTCCTTGCTGCAACAAACAGACAGATCTAACTTGGACTGGCTACTAGTGCATTCCTAGAGGCCTTTGGCTATCAGGCTTCAACAAGAAGGATGCACGAAGGAGTTAAATTTATCCGTGATTATACAGCTGGTAAGAGGCAGGGCTGAAGTTCAATCCCAAAGAAATCTCACCTCAGGGCCCGTGTCCTTCCTCCCCACATACACTTCCCTTCTTTAAGGAAGGCAGTATGTAACCTTGCAATTGATTGCTTGCGGCCTGGGCTTAAATTCTAGCCCAATCGCTTATTTAATTCTCATTGGCCTCAGTTTCCTCACCTATAAAATGGGCATATTTAGTAACCACCTCATCGGGTGAAGAGGCTTAAAAAGGTTTACGCAAGGAAAGCCCTTAGAATGGTGCCTGGCACCAAATGCAGGCAGTAGGACTGGCCCCCCAAGGTCAGCTATCTTTATTGGAAAATAACCTTTACCTCTTTTTATTCTACAGTAATTTACGTTTGTGGTGGTAATTTTGAAATCTAAGATATTTTGTTATCTGTTCAGGAAAGTTTCTTAAGACTGCACTTTCCTATGATGTCTGGCTTACGTCAGCTTTCAGAGACCTCAGAATAACAGAAGGAGGTTGTGCTCAGTACTGTATGCCCAGCATCCAGAAAGGGCCTGGTGTTTCCTTTGGTTGTTCTCAGGCCAAAGGAGGAGTTCTGGGAGAGGAAGGTCACTCTGATGGCCTCTTTAGACACTGATTCCCAGGACACTGCCTCGTCAACTTCCCAATGAGACACTAGGGTGTGTGTTGGGAGCAGGGAGGCAGTGATGCTGCTAAGAGAAACATCTCTATAAATGTGTAATAAGATTCCGTGGGAGAATTTTACGTACCTGTTAGAAATAACAACAACGACAAAAACTGTCCTCCTGGAGTAAGTATTAACAGTCCAGAGCATCCTTTATAAGCCAAGCCCCTAGAATCATGGATGGCCTGCATTAAACTTGACATTCTGGGTATTTGTACATCCATTTCCCTCAGCCTGCTATTTTAAAAAACTGCTTGTCACTTCATCTTTGCAAATGAGAAAAAAAAAGTTACTAAAATAGCTCATTAGCTAGAACACAGTCAAAACACAGATTTGAGAAATGTGATGCAAAGAAATGTAAAACAGCATCGACCATTTCAGTGTCATTGGAGGGAGCAGATTTTGAAATCTTTTGATCTGAGTAGAGTTTCAACCCATATAATCTCTCAGAGGGGCGGAGGGGCCTGGGGGATCACGGGACAGTGTGGTAGGTTGAATAATGCCCTCCCCTCAAGATGCCCATGTCCTAATCCCCAGAATCTGTGAATATGTAACCTCATATGGCAAAAGGGACTTTGTGGATGTGAGTTAATGAAGGATCTTGAATTGGGGAGACTACCATGGATTATCCAGGGGTCCCAATCATTATAAGGATTCTTTTATTTTGCGGTACGCGGGCCTCTCACTGTTGTGGCCTCTCCCGTTGTGGGGCACAGGCTCCGGACGTGCAGGCTCAGCGGCCATGGCTCACGGGCCCAGTTGCTCCGCGGCATGTGGGATCTTCCCGGACCGGGGCACGAACCCGTGTCCCCTGCATCGGCAGGCGGACTCTCAACCACTGCGCCACCAGGGAAGCCCATATAAGGATTCTTATATCTCTATAAAGGTCCAAATAAAGACGACCACCCTTACAGAAGGGAAGCAGGAAGAGTTGGCGAGAAGGCAATGTGGTGCCAGAAGCAGAGAGACAGAGAGAAAGAGACTTGCAGATGCTGTGCCACTGGCCCTGAACGTGGAGGTGGGGACCTCTGGAAGCTGAAAAGAGCAAAGAAAGGGTTTTCCTCTGGAGCCTCCAGAAGGAACCAGCCTGTTGACTGTAGCTCAGGGAAGACGACTTTTAGCCTCCAGAACTGTAGAATAAATTTGCGTTGCCTTAAATCACGATATTTGTGGTAATCTGTTACAAGCAAACTAATACAGGGAGTGAGGCTTTTCTGGGGGTTCCCGGGTAACCCCAAAGATGTCGGGGATTCCCTGTCCCCACCCCCAGTTTCCAAAAGGGAATCAGCTCTCAACAAAGATCCCTTTCCCCCAAGTATAAAAATCAAGTCTTCCCTTGTGAAATTTGGTCAGGACCCAGGCACAAAGCTGAGATGGGCTGTCAGCTACAGAAGTTGATTTTTTTCTGAGTTAGAGCTCATTAAAAACTGATCAGAGAACAAACAGTCATATGAGACCTCTCCTCCATCCCCTTAGATAACAGCCAACAACGACAGGACCCTCGCCATATGCCAGGTGCGTTCCAAGACCTGTGCATGGACTACACTCATTTGCTCCTTACCACAGCCCTAGTATTAACCCATGTGACAGATGAGGAAACCAAGGCAGAGAGGAGAGCAGAGCTCAAGGTCACACAAACAGTAGGAGGCTGAGCACAGCTGGCGCCTGGCAGTCTGGCTCCAGGGACCCTGTCCTAACCCCTTACTTAGACATGGGACATTTTTCTTCCTCTTGAGGTCAAGGTTATTCCACACCCTGTGTTTCCCTTCTCCAACCCCCTCCTAGCTGCCCGATTAATAAAATTTAATAACTTTCCTTATCTGCGCTTCTCCTTGTGGCTCTCAGAGGTGCCTGGGAAAGGCGACCTCCTATTTGAAGCTAAGTTTGGGGTTTGGTTCCCTCACCCCCCTTCTCCCTCCACCCTAACTGCTTTTGAGCAGGCGGGGACCAGGGGCGACTCCTGACTCCCAGCTCTGCTCTCCAGCTGTGTGGCCTTCAACAAAGAGCTTAACTTCCTGAAACTCCAGCTTCCTTCACTGCATAACGGGAGTCCATTGCTTTCTAAGGTCGTTGAGAAGATTCAGGGTAATTGTGCATCTTATGTGCAACAGAGCACCCGGCAGCCTGTAAGAGCACAGCAAACCCACAGCCTTTCCCCTTCCCTGCACCCAGAAAACAGCACTCTCCCAGCAACTCCTGCCCATCTGAACACTCACATCATTACTTAAAAATCAACTGGGGGAAAAAAAAAAAAACTAGGGCTTCCCTGATGGCGCAGTGGTTGAGAGCCCGCCTGCCGATGCAGGGGACATGGATTCGTGCCCCGGTCCGGGAAGATCCCACATGCCGTGGAGCGGCTGGGCCCGTGAGCCATGGCCACTGAGCCTGCGCGTCCGGAGCCTGTGCTCCACAATGGGAGAGGCCACAACAGTGAGAGGCCCGCGTACCGCAAAAAAAAAAAAAAAATCAACTGGGGCCACTGACTGCCAAGAGTCCCAGGCACCCAGCCTTTCGAGCCCAGAGGTTCCTGCCAGAGACTGGACCCAGCACAGCATTGGGTCGACCCTGCTTGGGGCCAAGGGGCAGCAGGGGAAGGGGAACCTATCCTAGGACAGTTCACAAAAGCCGAACACCTTTCTTTAAATAGAAGCAGGAAGGGACTTGGGTGAAGGATTTGAGCGGTTAACAGATAAAAAGGACCTTTATTCACCCTTCTTTGAAGGATTGAGCTATTTGCAGGTCATTCCTTATTCCAATGGCCCAAGTGCAATAAAGTTTCACCTGGTGACCAAAGCAGGGAAAGTCATCTCCCCACATTTCTAGCGGAGACGTGGCTATTCTCATGGATTTTCAACAAAGAAGGATGGACCATCCGCTTCCTCCATATTGGAGCTTAGATGTCGACCTTCTTGGTCGCCATCAAGAAAATGGAAGTTGAAGGGCAGAAAGGGCACATCCAACTCCAACATGACAGCGTCCCCGCCTGGCCTCCTGGTCTATCGAACTAGCATGTAACACTCACTCCAGAGCTCTCACCTGCCTCATCTCTGCTAGCACTCTGCCCTCCGCCTTGGATGCCACCCCTTCTTTACCTGGTGAAATTCTTTTTTTTTCAGGTGAGGTGAAATTCACATAATGTAAAAATTAACCATTGTCGAGTGAGTAACTCAACGGCATTGAGCACATTCACAATGTTATGCAAGCACCACTTCTACCTACTTCCAAAATATTTTCATCATCCCCAAAGGCAAACCCACACGCATTAAACAGTCGCCCTGCATTTCTCTTTCCCTTCAGTCCCTGGCAACCACCCATCTGCCTTCTGTATCTCTGGATTTATCTATTCTGGATATTTTATATAAATGGAATCATAGATGCGATATGTGACCTTGTGTGTCTGCCGTGTACTTCCTTCCTTTTCACGGCTGAATAGTATTCCATTGTGTGTATGAACCACATGTTTATCCATTTATCAACTGATGGACATTTGGGTGGTTGCCACTCTTTGGCTATTGTGAATAATGCTGCTGTGAACATGTACATATATATTTGTTTGAGTATCTATTTTCAATTCTTTTGGGTATGTACCTAGGAGTGGAATTGCCGGATCATATGGTAGTTCTGTGTTTAATGTTTTGAGGAACGGCCAAATTGTTTTCCACGGCAGCTACCCCATTTTACACTTCCACCAGCAATGCACAAGAATTCCGATTTTCCACATCCTCACCAACACTTGCTATTTTCTGTTTTCTTTTTCCCTAATAATAGCTATGCTAGTGGATGTGAACTAGTACCTCATCATTAACCTGTGAAACCTTGACTCATCCTTCTGTGCCCAGTTTCCATGTCACCATTGATTTGAAAACTTCTCTGACTTCACAACCTCATCCCTGAAGATTAACTGCTGAGGCTCTTCCCATGCAGCTCCATGGTGGTGCCCCATATGGCAGCGTCTCCCCGGGAGGCTGCGGCCTCCTCTAGGGCAGGACTGCATCCTATCCATTTTGGTATCTCTAGTGCTCACCACAATGCCTGGCACACAGTGAGAACCTTCAAAGCATCTTCAGCTCAGCCAGCCTCTGAGCTGAGATTTCCACATTATCAGTTCACCAACTGAGAGGCAAATGATGGCTTTTTTTTTTGCGGTACACGGGCCTCTCACTGCTGCGGCCTCTCCCCCTGCGGAGCACAGGCTCTGGACGCACAGACTCAGCAGCCATGGCTCACGGGCCCAGCTGCTCCGCGGCATGTGGGATCTTCCCGGACCGGGGCACGAACCCGTGTCCCCTGCATCGGCAGGCGGGAAGCCCGATGGCTTTTTTTTTTGTGATCAGCTGGGACCAGGAAGAAGGATAATTCGTCCTAGCATGACTCTAAGCCTGAAAGTCCCAACTTTATAGTTTTTATTAATATACTACACCACTGCCTGCTTGTTTACTGTTCCCAAAGCTGCTGACATACCTTTAAAGAAGATGATAAAGCTAAGTTTCTAGGTGTGGCGACCTCGGTTTCAGGTATGATAAGAGGTCACCGGAGGACTGGATGATATATCAGATGGGGCCCCTGCCCTTTGGCCAGGATAGAATGAGTTTTGTGATTATCTTCTGGGTGGCCTTGTCCAATCCCAGGGACCAGAGGCAGCAGTAGCTTCAAGCGTTTCCAGGCCAAAGCACCTGGGAACTGCTTTGGGGCTTTGATCTCTAGGGAGGGAACTGCCATTTTGTCCCATATTCATATTACCTCTCTCTCTCCCACCCACCCCACAAATGAATACTTACGGAGTGTTGAGCTCCCAGGCCCTGGAAATCACCTTGAGAAGATTGGGAGACATAACCCAAACAATTCTCAGCTAGTAGGATATCCTACTAGTTTGTCTGCGGGAAAACAGACAAACTGGGCTGTACCTCCCTGCTTTCCAACTGGGTCACCTTCTACAAGTCACCTAACCACGCTAATCCCTCAGTATTCCCACTTTTAAAATAGGGGCACTGATTCCCGTCCTACCAACTACACAAGGGAGTGGGAAGACACACCTAGGACAAGAACCACCTCGGTAAGCGAACCCTTGGGAAAGTTACCCACCCGCCAGCATCGGGATAGCCGTGGAGCGGTGCGCAGGGAAACCTCTGATTTAATTTCTATCACTCCCCGCAGCTCACTTTCCCCTTACTGCCCAGTTCACAGAGTGAGCAGTCTCGGGGCTCCAGGAGTGAATGCCGGGAAGGGGGTGCTCGTGGGAGGCCAAGGGGGTGCAGGGCAGCGCAGAGAGGCTGAGACCGTCAGACGGTGGGGAGCCGACTCCAGCTCTAGGGCGGGCGCCCCGCGCTCCCCGACCTCCAAGGGACAGTGGCGGCGGTGGGATGCCTACCTTGCCGTACTTCTTCAGCTTCTGCCGGTACCTCTTCTTGGGCTTCTCGCCCGGCGCCGTCTCCTCCAGCGGCTCGTAGCGCTCGGGGAGGACCGCGAGGTGCACCCTCCGCGCGCCCCGGGTCCCCGGGCGCTGCTCGCTCGCCCCGCTCTCCGCCGTCTCGGCCCCGCTCTCCAGATGCTCCAGGATAGCAGCCGCCTCCTCGTCCCCCTCCGTCCGCCCTCGCCCCCGGGCGAGGGGCCTGCAGCGCGGGAGACTGCTCGCCGCCTTGCTTCGGAGCCTGGCTCCCACCGTCATGGTGCCGCGGGCCCTCCGGCTGAGGTCGGTGCACGAAGACACCAACCTTTGCGCCCAGCCTGCGCCTCCACCCCCGCCGCCCGCCCTTGCCCAGCCCGGCCCAGCCCGGCCCAGTCCGGACGGGGCGGGGGGGCTGGGGGAGAGGTGGATGGGAAACTTGGGATCGCAGCGCCCTCTGGCTCTAGGATGGCGGCGGCTCCACCCAGGCCTGGCTTTCTGGTGGTCGGGCCCAGCCGCCAGCATCCCATCCTCTGGCCAAAGGGGTGAGGGATGCTCCAAAGCTCAATGCGCAATGAACACGCAAAGCACGTTCAACCACACTTGCAACGAAATACGTGAACCCCAAATAGTGAGACTTCCTTTGCACACGTGCAAGCTGGCAGAGATGATGAGAGATGATGATGATGGTGATGAAAAAGATGACAGGAATAAAGATTTTACTCAGACTTCCCTGGTGGCGCAGTGGTTAAGAATCCGCCTGCCAGTGCAAGGGACACGGGTTTGAGCCCTGGTCCAGGAAGATCCCTACATGCTGCAGAACAACTAAGTCCCTGGGCCACAGCTTCTGAGCCTGCCCTCTAGAGCCCACGAGCCACAACTACTGAGCCCGGGAGCCACAACTACAAAGCCCGCGTGCCTAGAGCCCGTGCTCCACAGCAAGTGAAGCCACTGCAATGAGAAGCCCGCGCACAGCAAGAAAGAGCAGCCCCGACTCCTCTCAACTAGAGAAAGCCCACGCCCAGCAACAAAGACCCAACGCAGCCAAAAATAAATACATAAATAAACTAATCTTTTGAAAAAGATTATACTCAATGCTGGTGAGGGTATGGTGAGAGGATGGTTATAATACAATATTCATGGGTCGCAAACTGGAGACAGGCTTTTGCAAAGGCAATCAGCAAATATTTATCAAGGGTTCTGAAAAACGGCCATACCTTTCTAGGTGCCTATGTTAAGAAAACATTCAGAAACACAGAACAGTGTGTCCACGGTGTTAATCACAGTCTGACTTCAGCGAAAAGTTGAAGGAAACCAATGGGGATGGGCAGGTGAAATTCTGGTGCAAGCATATGATATACGAAGTAATCATTAAAATCACGATTTTCAAGAATATCACTCGGGGGGAAAAAAGAGAATAATGCATACCGTCTGGTATATATGCATTCTCAGGTCACTGTGAATCTCAGTCTGTTTGGGATGCCGTCCTTTCTTATGTGGGTAAGTATCTTTTAATTCTTGGAAACTTAGAGTTAAGTATAAAATAATGTGTTATTATTTCATTAATATTTTAATACTATTAAAATGTGTGATATGTTTAAGAATGATTTGGTTATACTGCTCTAAGTACATAAAATAGTCATAATTTAACATATTAGAATATCAAAAATTACTGGTGATTTCAACGTAAAATGTAAAATCAAGTAGTTTACTTAGACTTATAAGTTTAACTTGAAAGGAATAAGTTAATTTACTGTATTTATAAGAATAAGTTAATTTACTGTATTTATAAGAATAAGTTAATTTACTGTATTTATAAGAATTACATAGTCCTGTACATAGTTGAAGTACTTGAAAAGAAAATCACATATATTAAATTTATAAAAGTCACTTAAAATGTTTAAGATAATTAAATTAAGTGAATGATAAAACCCCTTACAGTGACTGTTAAATTCTATTCGGTTTGTAAATGAAATAAAACAATACTGAATTTAAAAGCTATGGGAAGCTTGACCTGTGGATTTGCAACTTTACTAAAATAACTATTAACTTATAAACAAAAACAGACCCTAACTGTCCTTTTGCTATGTGCAAAACTGACTTCTGAGAACAACCCAGACGACGTAATAAATGGAGACATAGGTGGATTGTCCATGGAATGGAAAGTGTGTTTTGTCCATACAAAATACATTTCAAATATCACAACAACATTTAGCTTGCCTGATAAAAAGCAAAACACTAGAGCACCTGAAAACTGATCCCTAGACTGTCTCTATAATCAGTGAGCAAGCAGGACTCAAGGAGATGTAATCAGAACCCACCTTTACGTTGCTCTCACCGTTGTCTCTTTAGAAGTTATTCAGTGTGAAGAGCGCTTCCCTTGCTCCTGCGTGACTACTTAAGCAGTCCTATAACTCTTCTGACCTCACTGTGGTAATCAAAAATCCCAAAGTTGCAAATATGTTCTCAGTTTATATAATTTTAAATCTTACAATGTCCAATTCCATGTAATACTCAGAGGCTTGAACTTGATTTTAAGTTAAGCCTCTCTCCTCCCTCAGAAAAATTCAGCACCTGCAGGGCTGTGATTACTTGCGGAAGGACGGAAAACAGCAGAAGCGTGGCTTTCACCCCGGTCTGCTTTTCAAAGCAGGGAGCGCACCTGATTATAAGCAGGCTTGTCACATTCCCTCCAGGACCCAAAGGACTCTGCAACATGCTCATCTCCTAGCCTCTGCTCACAGGAAAGAGAATGGAAAGGGCTGAGTGCCAATCCATAGGAATCTTTCCTTCCTGGTAAGAATTAGGAACCTGACCTTCAAAGGAGCAAAAACATTGGAGGGCTAAGATTCATGAAAATAGATCATCAGTTAGTGAGTAAAAAAAAATACTTAGACACCTCAGAGTCTTAAAAATAATTGCTTATTTGGAATAACTTGCATAAGACAGTTACAGATATTTAATTGAAAACAAAGTTTCCATCTGTAGACATAAAAGGTTTTATGTTTTCATCTTTTGTTTTGTAATAAATGTGTGAATTTGGAAAGAAAGAAAAAAAAGGAAAGGGAGGGATCTTTATGGACCTGAAGTTTTATGAATTAAAATTGTTTAAAGCTATTAGTTTATTTGTGTAGGCTTAGACTCCAGAAGAAACATATCTCTGGAGCTGAAAAGAGCTGATTATAAACAATGGAACAGATATAACAGGTTTAATTTTCCAAAGACTGCAATGTAAAGTGAGAGGGGGAGCAGTTTTGAATCCTAGCTAAGTCTCAGTCTTGGGGCAGCCCCCAAAAGGGAGGATGGTCTACTCCTGCCTTTTCTCATGTTAAAAAAATTTCTTTTAAAGATTATTTTAAGTTTCGAGCCTTCTACATTAACTATCATTTAGTTCAAAAGGTGGTAAAAACAGATGGCATAATAGGAAGAGGAAATTTAACATTTGCATTTAAGTTTTTAAGTATTTTCTTTCTTTTTTTTTTTTTGTGGCTGCATTGGATCTTTGTTGCTGCACGCGGGCTTTCTCTAGTCGCGGCGAGCAGGGGCTACTCTTCGTTGCGCTGCAGAGGCTTCTCGTTGTGGTGGCTTCTTTTGTGGAACACGGGCTCTAGACGTGCGGGCTTCAGTAGTTGTGGCGCATGGGCTCAGTGGTAGCAGCGCACAGGCTTACTTGCTCCATGGCACGTGGGATATTCCTGGACCAGGGATCAAACCCATGTCCCCTGCTTTGGCAGGTAGATTCTTAACCACTGCGCCACCAGGGAAGTCCAGTATTTTCTTTAAGAATATATCTGTACTTGATCTGTGGTAATCCCATTCATGCAGATCCCAGTGAATGCAAAGTTGGGAATGTCAGGCACAGCACATTTTTATTTCACTTAAGGGGTTGGATTTCTGCACCAAAGATAAAGATCAGAGATTTGAGGTAAATACAATGTAAGCCTGGGACTGCAGTTAAAGGATGTTACAATTAAAATTTACTACAATTGTAAAAACTAGGGTCTTCCATAAATTGCTTCTCTTTGAAATCTGAAGAATTTTTTTTAAATTTTGTTTTCTCTTTCCCAGAGAGAGCAAGCTTTTTCCTGTCTTGTGATTACTGTGAGGGGCTGACCCTTTGCAGCTCATCCAGAGTCATCTGAGCCCAGGCTGGGCTGGGCCACAGCTCAAATTAGACCCAGCTCACCTCTGATAAACCCAAGCCTCAAACTTCTGGGCCACCACCGTCAAGAGGCCAAAGCGGTTGATCTTATCAGCACTGGGGCTGGAAGGGGATTGGAGCATAGTGTCCGCATTTGTTCACCCTGGCTTCAACTCCAGCAGGGCCCTGGCATCAACCACAGTGGGAAAGTTCGAGAAAGCCCACGTGCTTCCCAGAGCTGCCCCTCTGCGGCTTTCTCAGCACAATTCCAGGGATAAGAGGGCCATTGCGTGGCCAAGTGATTTGTTTACTATTTATCTGGGGCTCGTACAGATTCTAGTCTAGCTTGCCAGCCCGCATGTAACTAAAAGCTTGGCTCTTCCCCCCTCACCTGTAGGTGTCACCTCTCAGTACCAGGCAAGCCCCCTTCCTCGGGTCCCCGCACCCAGCTCGGCGACTTGCCCGGGAGTGAAGGCTGCACGCCCGCTGCCCATCCGTGAGAGGCTTGTCCCTCTCTGGAATTCCAGTCACCAAGGCATCCCTGCATCTCCTACTGGTGCATCATTCCCCATCAGAAGCAGAATCGGAAGTCTTCTGTGGATGAAGCTTTAAAGTGTAATGTATAACATTCAAAATCATCCTTCAACACTGTAATGGAATTGTATCTTATTTGGTTGGATTTATTCAAAAGCCACTGAAGATTTGGAAAACCACTGAGCTATTTGCACTGAATATTGATAATAGAAAAATGTATTTGTAGAGAAAAAAGGTCAGAATTATGACCTTATGAGTTAAAAGAAAACAAACATTTCTGACAAAACCTGAAAAACCTGCTTTGATATGTATTCTCCTTTGCCAACAGAGCATCACTCAATTTTATATATATATATATATATATATATATATATTCGAATATAATAAATAATAAAAATATCATGTATTTCCTGGAGGTGGGTTAAGATATTTTAATAACTGGTTCTGTATTTAGAAAACAGCAACATGGAAACCTATCTTGGCTTATATATAGTAAAACCAAGTAAATATTTAGTTTGATACAACAATACTTAGCACAAATAATGTATTGATTAGAAGGGAATGCTATCATATACGGAAGAGAAAAGAAAAACTTGAAGCTGGCAGAGGGTGAGGTGGGGGAAGAAGGTCAATAAAAAGTTCT